CAATTAAACTTCTTACTGCATAGAATCATCACACCAAATTTCAACCAATTCGGTTCGATAGATAATAATTGTTTAAAATTTTTTTTTTAATTAAAAAATTTTCAAAATCAAATTTCTAAAAATCTAAAGCCTTTAAATACTTGAAAATTTCACCACAAAAAGAAGAGCTCTCAAGCTCTAAAATTATTTTTGAAAAATTCAAGTAGGACGATTAGGTGAGCCGTGTTTAAACATTTTCGGAATTTTCACGCTTATAAACAATAGGCCCATTCAGTGATATATATTATTCATTTTCTGATAGTATTTAACCACCTAAATATATCTTAAAAAAATTAGGGCAATAGGATTAATAATAAGTGATATACATATTTCATTCTGAATTTGTAAGAATCTTAAAAAGGTCAACACTGCGGAGAACAGGTAATGACGTCACGATACCGGCCACTCGGCGATCAAGTCGCGAGCAGTCGGGGAGATGTGTAGATATTTGCTATACTTTTACCTATATTATAACCTATATTTTTAAGTGTAAGTATAATAGAGACTGTAAGTCTTGTTGAAATGCATTTTCACACAACATATTTATTATAAACATAGAATGACTTGGAATACCTAAATACATTTTCGGATTTTTCTTAATGACGTAAATGGTTCGCTTTTCTACATTTTCTGTTACGTTCCATTTTTGTACAAATGTACCCAACGCACTAGACTCGGTACTTGTGGATGTATGCGACGACGTGTTTGTGCCAGTAGTACTTTGACTAGTATTTGAAGCAACTCAGAACCACCCTCGTTTTTCTTTGGTTGCCCGTCTAGAGGGTTGTAAAATATTATTATTTAAATAAATTGCTTATAGGTCACTTTCGCCGACGTATTTCGAAATTTTTGTGAACGGGTACGTTTAGGTGGGGTAGAAAATTTTTTTTCGGCATAAATTTTAAAATTCTGCTCTAAATATTCAAATAATAATATTTACAACCCCCTAGACGAGCAACCAAAGAAAAACGAGAGTGATTCTTAACTGTTTATAGGTCCCTCTCGCCGACGTATTTCGAATTTTTTGTGAACACGAACATTTAGATGGAGTAGAATTTTTTTTCCGGCATAAAGTTGAAAATTCTACTCTAGATATTTAAATAATAATATTTTACAACCCCCTAGACGTGCAACCAAAGAAAAACGAAGGTGATTTTGAGTTGCATACCGTGGGTGGGGAAACTGTGGATAACATCACACAAACTTTTCATTTTTCGGTAATGAAATAAATATTTTATTCGGAGTCGATCCTGAGGTACTTTTGCAACCTGGAACTATACAGTATTTGTACAATCCTCGATTTCGACCCATTTAGACATAAAAACAATGATTAACGAAACTGCCAAGCGAACCACACACCGTATAACACAGAATGGGATGAGAGCGAGCGCGAGCGGAGTGCTCTGCCGGTCGCCCGTACCAGTATTATGACGTCAGGCAATGGTTGCTTAACGTTTTTCCGCGCTCTGTTTTCATTAATTTATTTCACACATTTCTCGTTGAAACAAAAAATGGATTTTTGACATACTAACTAATTAAAGGGTAAACTTTTAGAATATGCAAAAAAAATTCTACTGAATGGGCCTATTGCAATATTTAATTTAATGTTTTTTTCAATTTTTTTAAATTTTAAAATATGGTTTGAAAGTACTCGGAAAGAGGAGTATTTAAAAAAAAACTAATGATCCGTCCATTATTTTCGGGCGTCATATTTAAAATGTCAGTCAAAGATATTCAAGACCGCGTTTAATCAATGAAATATCAGTGGTGGGGGAGCAAACACACAGCTACTCCGATCGAAATTCTCGAGTTCAAAAATGCTCTGAGTATTGCACCCATTGCCAAGGGCAAATGTGTAAAAATGCTTACAAAACAGTGGAAGTAGACGAGTTCGAAATCGATTTTGAAGAAGACATGTCGGAAGAAAGTGCAAGTGAACTCGACAATCAGAATTCTGAGTTGTTAGAAAATGATATTTTGCAGTTGCGGGACGAGGAAATCGACGACGAAATAGATTGTGATAATACTGATGAGGCATGTGAATTAGAATTACATTAGATTAACTGTAAATAAAAATTGAAATAAATAGTTTAAAATTTGAAAAATCATGAAATGTGTGTACTATTTATTGAAGTATCCAAAAGATTCTTATACTTTTTTATATATAAATAAAAAAATTCGTAATTTATTTTTTTTTAAGATTTTTAGAAATTTATCGTACAACTAAAAATTAATGCCAATTTTCAGTTGTTTATTTAAATAATTATTGTTTAAACAATTTTATAATATTTAAACAAACTTACTAGTATTACCTGGTGCAACATGCAAAAATTTTGGTCGTGAATATTAACATAGTAAATAAATAAACATAATAAATTAATCATTGTTTAAAAGTAACTGTTTATCGGCATGTCAAAAGTCCAATAATTAATAATAAAAGGTAGTTGAAAATATGATAATTGAATTTTTTAAGTTGCGAGACATCGATTTAAAAAAAAATCATCGAAATTGGTCCATTAGAAGCTGAGATAAGTGAAAATTTTCCGAGCGTCGCATTTTTGAACTCGAGAATTCAGATCGGAGTAGCTGTGTGTTTGCTCCCCCCACCACTGATACCTCATTGATTTCACGTGGTCTTGAATATATTTAAGTGACATTTTAAATGGGACGCCCGTGATTGCAAATTTTGAAAATTTATATCTGGAAAGTACTCAAAATGACAAACATATTAGTTAAAAAATAGCCCTTATATCCTTATAGTTTTGCTGTAAATAAGGGTTAACTTTACCGGGCTATAACTCCAAAAATAATGGGCGGATCATCAGGTTCCCATCAGGTTCCATACCGGTACGGGCGACCGGCAGAGCACTCCGCTCGCGCCCGCTCTCATCCCATTCTGTGTTATACGGTGTGTGGTTCGCTTGGCAGTTTCGTTAATCATTGTTTTTATGTCTAAATGGGTCGAAACCGAGGATTGTACAAATATTGTATAGTTCCAGGCTGCAAAAGTACCTCAGGATCGACTCCGAATAAAATATTTATTTCATTACCGAAAAATGAAAAGTTTGTGTGATGTTATCCACGGTTTCCCCAGCCACGGTATGCAACTCAAAACCACCTTCGTTTTTCTTTGGATGCACGTCTAGGGGGTTGTAAAATATTATTATTTGAACATTTAGAGCACAATTCTCAACTTTATGCCGGAAATAAATTCTGCCCCATCTAAATGTTCGTGTTCACAAAAAATTCGAAATACGACGGCGACAGGGACCTATAAGCAGTTAAGAACCACTCTAGTTTTTCTTTGGTTTTCCATCTAGAGGGTTTTAAATATTATTATTTGAACATTTAGAGCAGAATTATAAAATTTATGCTGGAAAAAATTTCTGCCCCATCTAAACGTACCCGTTCACAAAAATTTCGAAATACGTCGGCGAGAGGGACCTATAAGCAACTCAGAACCACCCTCGTTTTTCTTTGGTTGCCCGTCTAAGGGGTTATAAATATTATTATTTAAACATTTAGAGCAGAATTTTCAAATTTATGTCGAAAAAAAAAATTCTACCCCATCTAAACGTTCCCGTCCACAAAAATTTCGAAATACGTGGCGAGAGGGACCTATAAGCAATTTATTTAAATAATAATATTTTACAACCCCCTAGACGGGCAACCAAAGAAAAACGAGGGTGGTTCTGAGTTGCTTCAAATACTAGTCAAAGTACTACTGGCACAAACACGTCGTCGCATACATCCACAAGTACCGAGTCTAGTACGTTGGATACATTTGTACAAAAATGGAACGCAAAAGAAAATGTAGAAAAGCGAACCATTTACGTCATTAAGAAAAATCCGAAAATATATTTAGGTATTCCAAGTCATTCTATGTTTATAATAAATATGTTGTGTGAAAATGCATTTCAACAAGACTTACAGTCTCTATTATACTTACAGTTAAAAATATAGGTTATAATATAGGTAAAAGTATAGCAAATATCTACGCATCTCTCCGACTGCTCGCGACTTGATCGCCGAGTGGCAGGTATCGTGACGTCATTACCTGTTCTCCCGCAGTGTTGACCTTTTTAAGATTACTATCAGAATATGAAAAAAAAAGTTAAAAATTATATACCACTGAATGGGCCTATTGTTTATAAGCGTGAAAATTTCGAAAATGTTTAAACAATCACCACGGCTCACCTAATCGTCCTACTTGAATTTTTCAAAAATAATTTTAAAGCTTGAGAGCTCTTCTTTTTGTGGTGAAATTTTCAAGTATTCAAAGGCTTTAGATTTTTAGAAATTTGATTTTGAAAATTTTTTAATTAAAAAAAAATTTAAACAATTATTATCTATCGAACCGAATTGGATGAAATTTGGTGTGATGATTCTATGCAGTAAGAAGTTTAATTGGGAAAAGTATGAAGGTTGTAGGTATTATTCAAGTGTCTGAAAAAAATTGACAAATAAACTAGCATTTTTTGCAATTTTTTAAATGATTATTCCGATTAACCGAATAACAATATTTATTTTTTCGAATACTACAACTAACTCTATCTAGATCAAAACTTTATTACAAAACTTTTTTCCTCTTCCATTTTTGTCTAAAATGAATAGTTGGTAAGTTGTCGACGAGAAATCCAAGAAAAAATAAATTTTTTTGCTATTTTTTTATACTTTTTTGCAACAACAATTAAACCCACGTTTTTTTTTTATTTGCATAGAATATTATGGGTTGCTGACATTAATCTGATGACGGGGCGATTTTCATATTTACCCTTGCACCCCCAACTCCTGCCACACAATGGGTGTCAGCAAACTCTGAAACCCTGTTATACAACATACGACCAACACATTAAAAACAAAATTATAATATATAATATATTATCGCCTATAATACGATCACAGGGGATTTTGACACCAATCTGTTAAGACTAATAGTGTATATCGATATAGGTACTTACTTTTATATTTGGTATTGAAGGAAAAACTGTAGATAATGGATTAACATTGTTGGTGGTAACTTTCAATTTATCATAATGTTGAAGAATTTCTTGAGTTAATGATTCTAGTTTTTTTGATTTTTCCAGGTGAAGATTTTCTACTGCAGTAATTAAAGATATATCTTTATCTTTGACTCTAAAAAAAATTAACAAAATGATAAGATGATTATCATTAATTGATATATTTCTGCAGGTAACATAAAATATAATTAATTGCAAGTTAAAATGATCTGATTTTAATCATTTTTGGAAACTGTAGAATAAAATTATTTAAATTTCAAAAGAATAAAATCTTATCTATTTAAGAACACATAAAATTCTACAGGCGATTCTGTCTAAATAAAAATTGTAGATTGTTTTTTGTGATTTATTATGATTCTATTACACACACTTGTAAATTCGCCAAAAAACATAAAAGTTATTCCTTAGGCTAAATTAATATATAGGTCCGCAAAAACTCCATTCTCGACATACAGGGTAGGTATTGAACTTAAAAATATATCGGTGTGAAAACAGCAGCTAAAGATAGCTGCCAAAACCTATGAACTTACCCAAACGACCATAAACGTACGTATCAAGAGGTGCGAGAGATACGAGCACGGCACATACGCATAATTTCCTTATCCAGTTGGCGATCTCGTTGTTCGTGCTGTATAGTTATTGTTGATTACTCAACTGCGATTTTGGGCAAATGAAATTAATGTAACGTTTTGGGAACACACCTTTAATGACTCGTAGATAGGTGTGACTTCTCGCATGGCTTGGAGAGTACTGGACACACAATGCTTGGACCACTCGCACATGCGTAAGATCACGGAACATTCAATACATTGGATGTGTAAACAAAAGTACAGAACATACCGGCGGCCTTGAAAGTTTACGCTCTTTCAACAAAAATACATATTTAAATATTTAGATGATATGAATAATTAACATGCAATACTTAAGGGTCAATAGGTAAGACACAAATTTCAGCAACACCTCGTCGCACTATACCACTGGCGGTTTTAACGTCCACTACGCGAGTAACGCCATCTTGGCCAGGAAAGGTTGCACACACACGTCCCATTTTCCACTGTAGAGGTGGAGCGTGCTCATCTTTCAGCAGAACCATGGATCCTACTTGAACTCCACCGACCTGCAACTTCCATTTGGTGCGTTGGTGTAAGGAATTCAAGTATTCATTGGACCATCGCGCCCAAAAGTGTTGAAACAATTGCTGTAAATGTTTGTACCGTGATAATCTGTTACATGGAGTGTCCGTGACGTCATCTTGAGGAAGAGCTGTGAGCGGTTCGCCGATAAGGAAATGACCAGGTGTGAGAGATAGGAAATCATTGGGTTCATTTGACAATGGGGGTTAGAGGGCGAGAATTTAACACAGCTTCACTTGCGTCAATACTGTATAAAACTCTCCGAAAGTTAAAAATGACTTATTGAATATTCGTTGGAGATGGTATTTTGCCGACTTCACTGCGGCCTCCCAAATACCTCCGAAATGTGGTAATCTAGGTGGAATGAAGTTCCATGATATAGCATTTTGAATAATGAATTCTCGAAATTTTGAATTTTTATGCAAGTCAGAAAGCAAAAGTTTTAATTCGTTGTTTGCGCCAACAAAATTGGTGCCATTGTCGGTATAAATAGCTTTGCATAAACCCCGCCTTGAAACCATTCTTTTTAAAGCATTAAGGAATAAATCAGCGCTCAAATCTCCTGTCAATTCCAAATGTGTCGCCTTTGTCACAAATCAAATGAATATGCATAGATAACACTTAACGATCTTTCGATTTCGATATTTGCCATCTTTAATAAAAAACGGCCCAGCAAAATCTATACCTGTGGTAGAAAAAGGCCTACTGGGTTTTAATCTTGCAAGAGGTAAATTACCCATTTGATGAAACGTGTCAATAGGTTTGGCCTTGAAACATATGATGCAACGTCTTAAAATGCCGCGAACTGTGCTTCGACCATTTAAAATCCAATATTTTGACCTAATAGCATACAAAGTAGCTTGCATTCCACTGTGAAGGTGTCTTTGATGTTCGTGTAAAATTAACAAACGTGTAAAGGGATGCCGATTTGGTAATACTATCGGATATTTAGTACGGTAGGGCAATTCAGACAACTTTAGTCTTCCACCGACGCGAATTAAAACCTTGTCATCTAAAAATGGATTTAGACAAATTAATTTGCTTTTAGGATAGACTGAATTTGAATGTGATAACGATTTGATTTCAGCTGCGAATTCATTTGATTGAACTATGCTTATCAATTTAGATGTAGCAGAATTGAACTCATTTATCGATAAAGGGCCTGTTATTTTATTTTTTGCAAGACAAGTAGTGTTATGTCTAAAGCGAAAGCACCACGCTACTATCTCTGAAAGTTGTGAGTGATGAAAATGTGTCAAAAATGTTGTTGATTTTGGTGTTGTTAGTAGTTAATGAAACTTTAGGAGTCTTTCTTTCTGGTATATTGACAGAAGACGATGCGTTTGGATAGGGCCATGATTCCTCGCTTAAAGTCAACCAATGAGGGCCATGCCACCATAATTTAGAACTAGCTAAATGTTGCGGTGTTGCTCCTCTCGAAATAATGTCTGAAGGATTTTCCTCAGATTTGATATGTCTCCATTGATATTGATCAGTTAATTCCTGGATGTTTGAAACGCGATTTGCTATGAATGTATTCCACTGACTTGGCTCACCTGCAATCCATGCCAACGTAATAGTTGAATCGCACCAAAAAATGATTCTGTCAAATTTAATATTAATGGAATTAATTACCTTGTGCGTTAATTGAGCAGCTAATAGAGCGCCGTACAACTCTAAACGTGGTAAAGATAGTCTTTTTAATGGTGCAACACGAGATTTTGCGCATAAAAGCCTTGCAAAATAATTGTTGCTTGCGTCGGTACAACGTATGTAGACACAAGTGCCGTAAGCTTGTTCTGATGCGTCGCAAAAAGTATGTAATTGTATAGCAATTGAATCTGAACAAATGACGTGTCTAGGTATTTTTAAATTATTTAGTGAATGAATTTCATTGTAAAATTTAAACCAAGTAATATACAAATCAATGGATATGGCTTCGTCCCAATCCAACTTGAGATGCCAAAGTTGTTGCAAAATAATTTTAGCTGTGACTACGACCGAGCCAACAAGTCCTAACGGGTCAAAGATTTGCGAAGTCGTAGATAGTATTGTTCGCTTTGTAATGCGCTCGTTTTTGAATTTAATGTCAACCGTATATTGAAAAACGTCTGTCTCTGAATTCCAAAGTAGACCTAACGTTTTAGTAACTTTGTCATCACTTATAAAATGAGTGGGGTTGGAACCATTGTTAGTTATATTTTCCAAAATTGTCCTATCATTTGAGCTCCATTTTCTCAAAGGAAAGCCGTATGAATCTAATATTTTAATGAGATCTTGCATCAAATGTTTAGCACCGTCAATGGATTCGGCACCTGTCAAAAGGTCGTCCACATAAAAGTCTTTAAGAATGGTATTACTTGCTGTTGAGTTTAAAGATTGTGTTTCGATACCGACTTGACGTAAGCACCTAGTAGCCAAGAAAGCTGCTGAGGCCGTGCCATAAGTAACGGTATTTAACCTGTATTGTTGGAGACTTTGATCAGAATCAGACCTCCACAATATCCGCTGCAGATCGCGTTGATCGTCTTGAATGAAAATTTGTCGATACATCTTTTCGATGTCGGCAACTATCACGAAAGTATGTTTTCTAAACCGCGTAAGAATGGAAAAAAGGTCGTCCTGAACTGTAGGACCGACTTTTAGTTTGTCGTTTAAAGAAATGCCGCTATCAGTTTTAGTAGAACCGTCAAAAGCTACTCTGATTTTTGTGGTGGTACTAGATTGCTTAAAAATGTCCTAACATTCGATATTCTTGCATGAAATGATCAAAATGATTTTTTAAGTCGTCATTTTTTGATAACTTGTTTTCTAAAAGCTTAAATCGTTTTAATGCGCTACGATACGAATCACCGAGTTCTGATATATTTTCACGAAATGGTGAGCTAACCACGAAATGTCCGCTTTCATCACGTTTCGTTGTTTTGATAAAGTGTTCCTCGCCCTCTGCCTCTTCCTTGGATAAATGATGGGTGTTATTAACCGTTTCCAAAAGCCAAAATCTTTCTATTTGCAAAATTGCAAACCGAGACCTGCTGTTTGTTTGCTCGATCAGTGGCATGATACGGTACACCGCCTGAAATCACCCAACCAAGTTTTGTCTTCTGTAGAATTGGTAAATGATCACCTAATCTAACTTGACCGATTGATAACAGTTCGTAAAACATGCTTGCGCCAATTAATAAATCGATTTGACCTGGTAAATGAAATGTTGGATCAGCTAAAATGATGTTTTTTGGTATTTGAAGATTTTCAAATTTAACTTTAGAAATGGGAAGGTTTTCTGTAATTTTATCTAGAATTAAAAATGGTAATTCGATTTTAAATGCGTTGTATTTTGATTGTATGGTTGCATTACTTTTTTCTGAAATGTTTAAACTTGACTGACTTATGCCCGCCACTGGGATATTGACGGATTGTTTGTTTAATTGCAATGTGTTACATAAATCTTTTCTAATGAAATTCGATTGAGAACCGGAATCTAGCAAAAGTCTACATGTATGAAATTTACCGAATTTATCCTTAATGTCGATTAATGCAGTGGATAACAAAATTTCCGCTTTTTCCTTGTTTGAAGCATGCGTAGTCACTGATGACCTTTCCGTTTCAGATATATTGTTTCTCTCGTTCGTAACGGATACATCCGATACTGATTTTTCCAATGGTTTTGAATGATTAACTTGATCAATGTTTGATGATTCACGTTCACGAAAATGTAATATGGTATTGTGTTTACGACCGCATTCTCTACAACCGCCTGAAACAAATGATTCTACTGTGTAAGACGATCTTAGACAATTTGTGCACATATTTAATTTTCTAACGTGCTCCAACCTCGACTTTGCCGGTAGCTTCATGAATGTCGGGCATTTATAAATGAAATGCTCTGGGCTCTTACAATAATAACAACTGGGATTATTTATTGCCGCCACGTGTGATACCGATTTATTTTCATTGGGCTTTTTATAATGATTCTTGATATTCCGACTTATTACTCAAGCTATCGTTTAAACTTTCAAGGAAATGACATCGTTTGGTTATGAATGTTGTGAAGTCGCTAATTTGAGGATTGTCCATATCGTTTGAATATTTTTCCCATTCTCTATTAGTGTCCGGGTCTAATTTACCGGTAAAAATGTAAATGATAATGGAGTTCCAATGTTCAACAGGTTCATTTAATGATCGAAGTGATTTTAAGTGAGAAGATAGTCCATCTAATAATTTTCTTAAATGTATGTGTGATTCCCGAGTAATCGCCGGCCATTCGAACAATGTTTCTAAATGGGTACGTTTTATGGCACCTTTATTTTCGAATCTATCCCGCAAAAGATCCCAAGCAATGCTGTAATTCCCTGCTGTTACGTCTAAAGAATTTAAAGCTAGCTCTGCGGCACCTTTTAAACATGAAGTTAAATAATGAAATTTTGTAACGTCGTTTAAATTTTTATCATTGTGTACGAGTGATGTAAAGGTATCTCGAAAATTAAGCCATTTATCATATTCTCCGTAAAATTTAGGCAGTTCTAATGTTGGTAATTTGATGTTTTTGATTTGTGAATTATTAGAAGAAATATCGTTAAATGTCACGCTGCTACCTGCTTGATTTGAATGACTTTCA